GATGCCCAGGGGAGTCCTGTCTTAATGGCCACGCCCCCTCCCTCCTCAATATGCCTGGGGGAGGGAGGGCAAGAGATCTTGGCTCCTCTTCAGCTCCTTACCTAAGGTGTTCGCCGGGTGGTAACCGGCTGAGTGTCGCGGTGTAACCCTCTCTGACCTTCCCTTTCCAAGCTCAAGGGTGGCCCAAGCCTGCAGCACCCCCACCCACCCCAGGACACTAGAGAGCCAGGTGGGCATAACAACCAAGCACTCCAGGCCGCTCCCATTCAAGGGAGGGCGCAGGGGAGGGGGAAGCGGCGGCCTGAGGAAGGCGTGCAGCGCCCCCGCCCCGTTACACGCTCACTGCCTCCCCGCGGCGGCAGCGACTCCCCCGCCCCAGCAAGGCGCAGCCCGCGCGTCGCAGGAACCCTCTGCAAAGCCAGGCATACGTACATCTGGCGGGCTCTGCGCCAAGCCCGGGCGGCCCCCCTGCGCTCCGCTCCGCTGCCGGCTGCCTCCGTTCTGCTGGGGCGACCCCCATCCGCTGCCGCCTGACAGGGAAGGCGATCGGCTCCCGCTGGACCGCTGGCTGCCCGTCTTCCGACCTTCGCCTCGGGGCTTGGGGCTCAGCCTGGTGCAGGGGAGGTGAGGAGAGCCGGCGTGGGACGCCCCTCTACAAGAGGCCGCTTCCCGCAGGAAGGGCAGCTCCCTACCCGCCTTTGCACTGCGCCGGGAACGTTTCTATTTAGAGAGCCAAGCCCCACGCACACTGCCTTGATTTCCATTCAAGGTCTGGGATGCCTAGCCCAGTTCCAAGTTGGCACTGGCACTGCCCTGGTAAACTACCCACTGATTAATTGCTGCTTGTCTACCAGCCGGGCTCCCCAGCCTCGAGTATATTTAATACGCAGAAAGCCGAGCTCAGCCCCAGCAGAAAGCCGGGCTCAGCCACAACCTGAGCGCTCCCAGGGGCCCCGGACCTACCTGCTGGGCGATCTGGAATCACTGTCCTGGGAGGAGAGTGAGGGGCTGTGGGAACTTCCGCTGCTGTGGCGATGGGACCTCCGGCCTGGGGACTCGTGTGGCCTGGGAGAGAAACCAGCCTGTACCTAAGTTCTGTTTCCTGATGGAAGCCACAGCTGACCAATTCCCCCTCCCCAAGTCTCCTACAAAAATAATGCAAAGGCTGTCCACACTGGTGCAAAGCCCAGCCAGGCCCTGTGGGCCATTGGTGGGAATTAGGAGAAGGTGCCTTTTTCTCCAGATAACCCCAGCCCCCCAAGACCTCACTCGTCCCTCAGCTGTTGTTCTTGTGACCCTGGAGAGGTGCAGGGGAGTTATAAGGACTGAGCTTGAAAAGACCCTGGACCCGGAGGCAAGAGGCCTGGGTTCCAGTTCCAGCTCTGCCATTGACTCCACTCTTGAGGGCTCTTGGCTTACCCTCTGGGTCTGAATGTTTCCACCTGGGCAGGGGGTACAAAATGAACTACCTTCAAGAGCCTGATTCTGTGATTCCAGGGGGCCGGGTTTGCTGTGTGGGAAGAAGGGCTGAGGAGCTGGAGAATGGGGAAGAGTGCTCACCTCTTCCTCTCTTTGTTCTTCTCTTTTCTTTTGCTCTTGGGGCTTCGAGATCTACAGAAAGCAGAGGCTAGGTGACAGCACAGCCTGAGCCAGGCAGGGGAGAGTGAGCCTCCAGGGAGCCCAGCTCTCCTATGTGCGAACCTGAGATTTGTTCCCCCCTCTGACCTGAGCCTTCCTGGCAGATGTGGAATTGCCCATCCCACTCCATGCTCTGGTTCCTTCGATTCTGCCAAGTCTGTTCCTTCCTTCTCCAGTAGATCCTGGCCCATGATCACCTTCTGCCCGGGCCCTAACTGCCGCTCCCTCTGGGAGTGCTAAATGGTGATGTGGCCACACACCCAGAAGGAAGGCTGACCTGCCCTTACTGGTATCATCTGCATCAGTCTTGGGACAGACCCCTCTGATGAGTTTTCAGGGTGGGGAGTGGCCCTCCACACTTCATTTGTGTTCCCTATGCCCTAGGTCTCCTCGGATGGGGCCGCCTAGACAGAGCCCAAGCCTCCTGCTTCTCTGTTCTCTAGACTGTGGCCCAGCCCAGAGTCAGTCACCAGGGGCTTCGAAAATAAATGCTTTCCCTTGGGTGTGATTTTCCTGCCCTTGGGCATGATCTCCCTGCTTTTGGATTACTCCTCTGGACCCCTATCCCATCCCGTCCAGCTCTCTGGGGTGGGCCCCACAGCCCAATTCCTGCCTTTGATTGAGAGCCTTCTGATTAGCCCTCTAAGGTCTCACCTCATGCCGGGTCCCATAGGTCTCTCAGCCCCACCTCCCTGATGCCACCAAATTCTGACTCAATCCTCCAGTCCTGAACAGATGCTTTCTTCTGACCAAAAATGAGGTGATGCTAAGAAACACTGGGAGGTATTTCTCACAGGATCAAAAGGAATGGGAGGCAGATCTGGGAAGGAGCAGGGATGAAGTGAGGGGGCAAAAGTGTGGGTGAAGAACCCATGTTGCATGCTTGGGGCCTCAGTCTCCCCATCTGGAGCTGGGGACTCGGCTTCTCCTCAGGGCTGCTGGGAGGGGCTCTGGCTCTCATGCCAACCACAGGGATGTGACTGCCCCACATCTTTCCCTCCATGCTGAGTGTTCTACTTTCTCCACCCCTGCTTCTGCCTGAGCTCCTATCTTTCACTTCCTCCTGTCCTCTCTCCCAATCCATCCTGAGTAAGTCACTGTCCTGCTTCAAAGGTTCATGTTGGCTCCCAGCCCTGCCTTGGTGGAGGCCATCTCCATAGCAGTCAGGCCTGTTGGGGGTTGGCACCTGCCCCTCAAGATTCTCTACCTCTAGCCACAGCCCACCCACTCTGTCTCTGCCAACTGAGGCATCCTTCTATCTGGCATGCCCTTTTCCTGCAAATTCTGCCTTCTAACTGACACCTCTACGGACACACCCCTTGGACACTGGGCCTGCTGTATTGTCTGGAAATTCTTGGGGGTCCTACATCAAGGCTGACTCATGGGGCAGGCAAGGATTGCAAATCACTGGTCTTCATTGTCCTCCCCCCCCCCTCAGTCCCCTGCCTGGGGCTAAGAAGGAGTCCCTGGAGGGGGAGGGCAGAGCAGGGCAGGACCCTCAAAATCCCCCCTCCCATCATGGCTTCCTTTGGGCCTTGGTCTCTGCAGGGGGGCACCAGCCTCTAACTATATCCTCCTATCACACCGCCATAGGGCACCGCTCACCTGTGCCGTCTCTTCCTCCTGGACCCAGAATCAGACCTGTAGGGCCATACAAGGGTTCTCTTGAGTCCATCTGGGGTGACTCAGGGACACCCAAGCAGCACAGCCCTGGTCCTGGGCCCCATGGAAGTGAGAGGAAGCCCCAGGAGAGGGAGGGTACCTGTCTTTGCGGTGCTTCTTCACACTCTTCTTCTTCTTGCGCAGGGGTGAGGAGCTCCCACAGCTGCGGACAAAGGGGTGGGAGGTGGGCTCTAGTGAACTGGGGCCTGGGAGGTGGAGGGGCAGCTGGAATGGCTAGGGAAGGCTGGGTGCCTAGGGCTCAAAGCTGGAAAGGGGATTCCAGGCCATGAAGCCAGCTGCCTGCTGTACAGAGTGAACCGAGGCCCAGAGGGTTGGCAAGGTCCCTGAAGGTAGTTGATGGAACTGCCCGTGTTGTTCCTGGTCACCCTTCTAGCCTCCTTGGCATTGTGAGAGGGGGCTGTTCAAACCAAAGGCTGGAGGCTGAATGGTGGGAGTTCTGGCCTTGGTGGGGAAAAGCTGCTGGTGTCCAAGGTCCAGGTGCTGAGGTCCAAGGCCTCCTGCCTCTGGAGATGGCCCTGAATCTCACCCACCCACAGACAACCCCCCCACCCCAACCCTTCCTGGTCCTTGCCCGCCTTCATCACTGACCTGCACTCCGAGTCTAGTCTCCTCTTTTTGCTGAGGGCCAGGGGAGAAAGAAGGACAGACAGTTGGATGGGGTTAGTTGGGTCCCCAGACGATTGCCAGGGTCTCACTCAGGACAGGGGAGAGGGAACCACAGATGAGACCCTGGCAAACCCCTTCAACCCAGGCCACTCACAGAGGGGTGGGGAGGGCAGGGCTACTGGGGAAGGGCAGAGGGGTACCCATCAGGTGGACAGGGTCAGTGTGTCTAGTTCTGGGGCAGAGGGTCTGAGAAAGAGGCCAGCGTATCCGGTTCTGAGGTCTGGGGCGGGTGAGTGCCGACGTGGGGACTCAGAGGGGACGTGGTGAAGGGGAGGAGCTAGTGGAGTGCGGGCCTGGTAAAAGGAAGGGGATTGAGTGAAGGCGGGGTCAGTAGGGGGAGAGCACTTCGTTAGGGGCCGAGGCTCAGCGAGGGCGGGCTCACAAATGCGGCGGTGGGTCCCAGCAGACTCCGTGGGAGGGGGGACCCACCGCGCCCCTCCCGCCCCCCGCAGCCGGCGGCGCTCTCACCGGCTCCTCCGGTGGCTGCCTTTCTTTTTCTTCTTCTTGGGAGGGGGCGAGGCCGAGCTGCTGGACCAGTGCTTGGTCCTGCGGGAGAAGGGGCGGGGCGGAGGTGAGGGGGCGGGGCTGGCGGAGGTGAGGGGGCGGAGCGGAGGTGAGGGGGCGGGGCTGGCGGAGGTGAGGGGCGGGGCTGGCGGAGGTGAGGGGGCTGGCGAAGTTAAGGCTGGGGCAGGGCTGGACGAAGTAAGGGGGCTGTCCGCCCGCCCACCCGGACCTGCC